GCGTCAGAATGCACTCACCAGCACTCGCGTTCTATCCCGCAATACTGCCGCCATGCGTCGCCACTGTAGACGCTGCTGCTGAACGGTATCCAGCGACGAAGTCGTTCAACTGACCGCGGTCATCGGAGGCCAGCGAACGCGGACCAGCGCAGCCGTTGACAGAGTTTGATCAGCGGCCACCGTCAGCCTACCCTGTTTTTTTAGTTGTTTTTCGTTTCGAGTCAAGCCTCTAAAGCTACGGACTTCACGCACCCCTCTCTCAAACTGTTGCCCTCAGCTAGAATATATGAAATGCCGCATCACGGCATTGCTCTCAAACGCAGCGTGGCGCCGTTTTCCTGATCATTTTATTCAGTCATTGCTGTTTATTCGAGTATTCTTTCCACCGTCTCTTTATATTTATTGTATCGATTCTTTGCTGCTCTGGCGTTTTCTACGTTGTTTAATCCGTTTCCCACGCTCAACGCGAGCGCCGTGTGCCAGACGCGGACCGGAAGTGCTGCTGACCGCTTCCGGTTTGGAGGTCGCGTAACGTTATAAGCAAGGCCCGGGCACGCAGTGCTGACACGGGCCTATAGAACTAACGGACGTATTGCTTCCGGTCAGCGCTGGCAACGTCAGACGACACGCTTGTCTGCTGTTCGTTCCCATCCTACCTCACGTAGACGCCTATGTGTGCATTAAAAAGAGTGAATCGGAAGCGGGACTATTCCAGTTACGTATGTCTGCCCTTTAGTCGTTGGTATGCCGGTGTTGCGAAGAAATTGAAGAAAGAAAACGCTAAGAATAGTCGAGGAAACACAATATTTAAAATGTTTAAAGCAGTGCAGTTATTTATGAAGGTTAGCATTTATCATTTTCGGCACGTTTCTAGGTGGTAAATGCTGATTCCATTGTATTAACGATAACAGATATTCTGCATTGTCTTGATAAGCTTGTTTTCAGGATAACCCTGAATAAGTGAGACCTCAGTTAATGTTTGGTTTGTGAGACAAGGTCTCAGGGCATCCGCTCTCACTCGGTGTCCAGGACGCCAATGACTCAGCCAAAATGACACCGTGACTTAGTCGCTTACTTACGCTGCATGGCGGGTCGGTAGCGGTGGTAGATGGCGATAGTAATATCACGTTTAGGATAACTGCCAGTTGGGCACGTTGGTAAAAGTTCAAGGTGAAGCAAGCGAAATATGCACGAATGCTCAGAAAGACTTACAAAGTCCTCCTTCCTGTGCTTTATTTAGGTTACGGGTCTCAAATTCACCCCAGTGAGTGAGCCACCATCACGAAATTTAGTCCCGCAAGGGCCTGGACAGTGAGCGGTTGAGTTATAAAAGGGAGAGGAAATTATTACTTTTTTGCCTACAAACGCCACCATTTCAGATAAAACTTTCGCGTATCTCGTGTACAGGTCATTTCTGCAGGAGGTTTGGTGCCAGGATTTCAAAAGAATGTCGATTCCCGAAATTGGAATATGACTGAAATCTGTTCGCTGATAGTGAAATTCAACCTTTATTTTACGATTATGTTTCACAACAACTTGAACCCAGAGGATGTTTCACGGAAGAATGTCTGAAACAAGTCAGGTATGTATAGCTTACGAACATACTTGAAAAAGTCACGAAAAAGTGTGGCGAACACAGTGTTGTGAGACGCGCAGGCCGCACCCAAAAGCCCTGCGTGCCACATTAGGCCCACTGGTCACGTGCTTGAGACACCTGGTCTACGTTTTCAAGTATATTGCACTTGTTCCATCATGAGCAACACCGTGGTCACTTGATCGCAAGAAAACTGCGGCCTGTGGCGTCGCTGTGCTTTTAATGGAGCGGCAGTAGTATATGCGCTATACATGGCACGAAACTTCGATTCCTGGCAACAGTGGCCCCGTTTGAAATATTGAATGGAAAAGAAACACAAAACATTAATAATAATGATAATATCTCGGAGTTTTACGCTCTAAAACCACGATATTGTTATGAGGGACACCTGAGGGGAGGGCTCCGGAACTTTTTGAGCATCTGGGGTTCTTTAGCGCACGCTGACGTCACACTGCACATGCGCCTGTACCGTTTCGACTCCACTGAAATGTGATCATCGCAGCTGGAATTGAACCCGCGACTTTCAGGTTAGCAGCCGAGAAGTGCAGCCACGAAATTCACCGTAGCAGACAGTGTGAGCTCATTAGTAAGATTCAAAAACGACAGTGTATGGTAGCACTACGCTGGAGTGCTCCATTAAAGTACTGCCCGAAGTAGCGCAAAACCGCTGTGGTGCTCCAGTCATACCAACTTGACTTCTTGCGTTTGATATTTTCCGTCTCATCCGACAGCTCTCCCTGTTCATCACTTTTTTTTTTTTTTCGTCCATGAATCGGAAGCCTCGTTTTATCTACGAAGCACGTAAACTGCCCTCCGATTTCCTCTCGCCCCCCCCCCTTTCTCTCACTTCCCCTTGTATTATTTTTCTATTTCTTTGTTCACGTACCCCTCCGCTGAATTGTGCGCGCCGCCCAGTCAATCCAAACACGCGTGACGTTCGGTCGTCACAGTCGGCTGGACAAGTTGCGCAGGCGCAATCTCTCACGCTTCTGAATGAAGCAGCTGCTGCGTTTAGCTTTCGCGCTTTATTTCTTTCGTACTGCGACGTAGTGCGCGCGCATGCGCCTTAACGCGATGAACAGGACACTGGCACCGGCACGGCGCATCGAAGCACGCAAACATCCATCGTACCATTTTTTTTTATTTTTTTTCTTTGTACTTTTTGGCCTGAAAAGAGGCGGTTCTTTTTGAGCCAGACATTTCAAGGTAGGGCCACAGAGGTCCTGGCAGCCGTGCTTGTCTTATTTACGAAAAGTTGATTTATAGAAGGTCTTCATGTTTAGATAGTCAAGAGTCCGACGGAATCCCGTCTGGTCTGGGACAAACGTAGTGCAAAATAACAAAAAACGCCGACCAAGGTGAAATACACAAAACTTAAAAAGACGTTTCGGCTCCCCACACGGGAGCCTTGTTCGTTAGTTTTACGTCCGTGACCCTTTTCACAGTGACCCTTTTCTAGAGTCACTGAACAAGGCTCCCGTGTGGGGAGCCGAAACGTCTTTTTAAGTTTTGTGTATTTCACCTTGGTCGGCGTTTTTTGTTATTTTGCACTCCATGTTTAGGTTCTTACAGCCATCGCTGCTCCGTTTAAAGCAAGCCCATACTAAAACATCCCCTTCAGTCACAAATTAGGGTGGCCCCGCCGTGGTGGTCTAGTGGCTGAGGTACTCGGCTGCTAATCCGCAGGTCGCGGGATCGAGTCCCGGCTGCGGCGGCTGCATTTCCGATGGAGGCGGAAATGTTGTAAACCCGTGTGCCGAGATTTGGGTGTACATTAAAGAACTCCAGGTGGTCGAAATTTCCGGAGCCCTCCACTACGGCGTCTCTCATAATCATATGGTGGTTTAGGCACGTTAAATCCTACATATCAATCAATCCATTCATCACAAATTAGGACGCATTGTCGGAAATTCATTCAGCTTTCATGGCATAATTCCAAGGTACTCTGTATTACATTCCAAGTAAGAGAATAAAGGACTGTGTTATTTAGTGCGAGAAGGGACATGAAATAACCTTTCATTGGCTTCCAGGTCAGTGTGGAATAATTGGCAATGAACGAGCCGATCGAGCTGCCCGTTCCGCCCATACTGAAAGCAATCAAATATCAATTCTGTTCTCCAGAACCGACGCTGCACGGAAACTCCGCATGCTTGCTCGCAAGCGCTTAATGTCGCAATGAAACGAGCCACTACACCCACGCACGATTATGTACCTTAGACCCAACCCTCAGTCTTCGAATTCTTCCAGACCTTCACTGTCGAGACGCTACAATGAAGTGCAGGTTATGGTTGGGTGTCGCATTTACCAATACGTACGTGTTCCGCATAGGAATGGCCGACGCTGCTGTATGTGACCATTGTGACATTCACAAAATAACTAGACATATTCTACGCGAAAGCCCACAATACTGCTCGCAGAGACAGTCACTCCGCAAAGCACTAGACGAACTGCACTGCCAGACTCTTTCGCAAGAAAGAATCCTGCTCTACCGACAGGACTTCATATCACAGAAGAAGGCTGTGAAGGTGCTTCTGTGCTTCTTATGTTCAACCGGCCTCTCCAAACAACTCCCTGCATGTGTGTACGTGTGTATTTTTTTCTAAATAATTTTATCTCTCTATCTCTATCCTCTATTCAACCCTCATTTCCCCACCCTATAATGGGTAGGAAACTAGTTCTAGGTTAACACCCCTGTATCGATCTTTTATTTATTTCAGTCAGTACTTGCACAAGGAGAATCAACTATTGGGCCCAGAATGCATGCGCAGTTAGTTTTTCGGTTTTATTCGTTTCAAGCGAAGAAAATTAGTACTTTTCGCGCGGGTCCTCCAACGCGGAACCCCAAACGATCGCGGAATATGGCAGTGTGTCAAGCAAAATGATCCTCTGCAGCAATATGCAGCACAATAAAATTAAATGACCACTAGTTGTCCACTGGGGAAGTCTGCAAGAATGTGAACACCGAGTTTCAGGACATTTGAAGAACCATGCGGCGTGTGAAGCGCCTTCGAAGTTCACGTACCCAGTTGTACATGCCTTGACTTTATCAAGAAAGTTATCGTGCCAGCCATATTAACTAGTGATATTAAGGTTTGAAAATCATGATACACGTACGATTGATGCCGTAGCTGAGGGATCTGGCAATTTGGACCATCTGGGGTTCCTTAAAGTGTAGTGCCATCGTAGCGAAGACGGGCGTATGGCATTTCGGCTACGTCGATATGCCACCGGGAATCGAACTCGCTACCTTAGCGCCAGCAGCCGAGCACCGTAACCGCATCGTTTCCGTCACGTACCACATAAACAAACAAGATAATTTTTAAACATTCCTTGTTAGACTAAATAAAAAGAACATGTGATTCGAACGTGTACGCCCCTTACGCACAAAAACACAGACAAAATTGAATTACTATTATAAAACTTTATTTCACCAGCGCTGTCTTAAGTAAAATGTATTTTCAACGCTCCGCGCATATGAGTCTCCAGCACAGGCCTAAGAACTCGTAAAAAGAAAGTTAAAGATGCAAGCTAAAAGGAAAAACAGAGATCGCACAATGAATCAACTTCGAGGTGGGGACCCCTCTAGGTCAATCATGACGTCATCCCGCGGCACCAGGATGACCGTGGCATTGTCTTCCCGCCATTTCCGGAAGCAACGATAATGGTATCTGACCGTGAAGTAGGACCAGACGAGGAAGGCGGTTATCAGTAGCAACGACAGCAAGATAAGGCTGCCCGCCTGTATAATCTGTTTGGTCGTCGTCTGTCTTGTGGCCCCTGGATGCACAGTTCCAGTCCCATTCCCGCTATCGGACTTAGCATGACGAAGCAAATGACGTCGGCGACAAGCGCTCGGCGGTGGTCCGGCGCCTCTCGGTACCACTCGGTCAGTGTTCGTAGCACCCGCGTCGTTGGGAAGCGCTCGTGGCACAGTTCGCACGAGACGGCGTTGCTGGTCGCGAGCCAGCGCTCCAGGCAGCATGAGTGAAGCATTCCCATGGTCCCCGTGCATGCGCAGTACGACGACAGGGGTCCGGCCTGGTCACCTGTAAGAAGAAGTGAATCTGATCGAGTTTATTGGTAAACAGTTTTAGCAAGGTCACGCTATATAAAAATGCTCTTTCGAATGCTGTACAGTCGCCCAAATCTATATATTGTTCAAGAGCAGCAGTTTTCTTCGCCATAATACTGAATAAAGTTCCAAAGAGTATGAGGACAAGTGCCCGCTCACAAAGCACATGACCAAAAGACAACTTCTTTGCAGCTTTTTCATCAAACTGCGCTGGCATAGGAAAAGTCACCGCTGCACACAGTAGTTATAAATTTGGGCAAATGTACTTTATATGGACCAGGAATCACAGGAACCTCATACCTAAGATCAGGGGCCGCCAATATTTTGAGGCGAAGGGCCAAGATTGCACGATAAGTATAGAGGGGGGTTGCAGGCAACTATAAAAATCTTGGAAAGAGACAGTAAGGCCTAAAGTGAAATAAAAATTGTATTCATTTCGTACGCCCATATCATGTGGTAACGATTTACAAACAAAGGTAGTGTGCGAAAACATTTCCTTGAGGTCAAAACTGTCAAATCAGTCTTCAGATGAAAAGTGACACGGGAGGGTTGAGGGGGTCGTTCTTATATCGTGCCTGGGGGGGGGGGGGGAGCACTTAAAGCTGGCCCGCAGGCCGCCGGTGGCCGATGCCTGCCTTAGAACATCAAATGTGTTTAGAAGATCAAATATGTAAAATTTTAAGCATGCTAGTTGGTTGAAGCAAACACATCTGATTGACGACTACGATTCACTCATGAACTGGCCCCTTGTACGAGACTTGTGCGGAGGCAAGTAGGATCGCATACAACAAGCGGAATGTATACTTTTGAAACGCTTCACCTTCAAAAAGCAATCAATCCTCCTCCATAGCATACATTTGATTAACACATATATAGTTTATTTTTGTTCATCGTAAGGAAAACAACGTACACATTACGAGACTGACACAATGAAACACGAGGCGCATGCACTGCGTCTGATAACAAGCATGCAAGTCAACTTTGCTCCTTCATGCATGCGAAGACGCTCGTGCTATCTTTCAATGGAATTCATTGCAAACGCAACCAATGAAGCATCACAGGGAAACCAAAATTACGTACCTTCGTGGCAAATCCGACAGATTGGTCCGCTGCTGTAGGCAAGACTATGGACAAGACCCGTAGCATGTTCTCCTGATGTGGGACCGTTGATCCACGGATGACCACTGATCAGGCTGATGTGCTTCGACTCGCCGGCAAACCAGGTGGCTATTTCGGAAGACGATGCCCGTGGTCTAATTGGCGTCGGCAGATGTCTGGCGGGTGTGACAGGGTTCGGACCGTGGTCTTCGTAGAAGGACGTCCGTGGACGCTTTCTGGGCACCGGGTCGGTGTGGCAGTCTGTGTTTGTGACTCGACACCTGCTTCCGTTGCCGGCCCGCTTGGGCGTGCTGCTCACGTTGCCCCTGCTCCGCAGCCTCGAGTCCGAAGACGTTTCGGGAAGAGAGTGGTGTCGCTGAATGTGGTCGCTGACCAAGAAAAGATCCGAGTCGCTCCCTTCCATGGTACCTTGGGTGGCGACGACGTGTTTGCAACGTTACCGTGTGGTCCCTCCAGTTCTTCGAACGGAACAACACTGTCTCGTCGATGGTGGTGCAATCGCATGTGCCTCTTAACTCTCAGAAAAGCCGTATTGGCTGCTTCACTCAAGCAACCGAGTCGGTTTCACTTTACACGTTGAAAAATTGCGTCTAACAATGTTGAAGACAATATACTTATATTACGTACGTCCCAATATTGAATTTCTGGTGCCGTACGCGTCACAACCGTTCGTATGTTAGCGACTAAACTAGTGCGAGGCAAAGTTTAGAATGTGGGCAGTCCCGAGAACTGTGCGTATCAGTGGTACGGACCACGTGTGACTGGTGATCTGTCACTGGTGGATTTCTGCAAAGTCCTGAAGGTGGCGCTTAGTGCTTTGCCGCGTTGAAACAAGGCGGGGCGATGCCCTTTCATGCATGTCTTGATCTAATCACTGGGGTTTAACTTCCCACAACCACGATACGATAATGAGAGATGACGTAGGGGAGGGCTTCGGAAATTTCGTCTATCTGGTGCCCACTGACATCGCTCAGTACACGGGCTTAAGTAATTTGAGCACGGGCGATATCGTGGACGAGCGATATCGTGGACCGCTGCGGCCGAAATTGAACCCACGACTTTTGGGTCAGCAGCCGAGTTCCATGCATATCCGTACAGTTCAAGGCATTGGCCCATAATGATTGTCACAAACGACCGCTGAAGAAAGCACGCGTCTTCGATTTTTAACTGATACGTGGAAACCAGGCGCCGATCAGATGTGACAGAAGCCAGCGCGACGAAGAAAGGAGCATCGAAATTTGCGCCCGCTCATCTCCTCTCCTCCACGAAATGACCAGCGGCAACCTTCTCGGATGTAACGCCGCGCGAATTCCAGAATGACGTAGAAGCAAACGAGCGTGGCACCACAACGTGTAGTGACGGAACGCACAAGCTACGAGAAAGGTCTATACCTTTCCCCAGCTTTGGCATTGCGGCTCACCAACGAAAAGACTGGAAGCTTTGAGAATACCGTGGCGAGCAGATGTGACAAAGTCGGCGTGTGTTTCCACCAGTGGACGAAGGAGGGTCCAGTAGTGGCCGCTCGAGAGTGTCCGATGGTGATACTGGCAAATAATTTTTGTCGTTAAAGTGCTGTCAGTCGAAGTGTTGAAGCGTTGACACGTTTTAAAAAGCATTTCACTGAAGAGGAACCTCGGACGATTAAGACGAAAACGAGCGCTGGATTTCTTGGGAGGGTTTATTGGAAGAAAAGTGTTCAAGTGCAATTCCAAGAACTTTGGACTGAATACGTTCTGTGAACTTTCTAGTATTAAAGTATTCTTGGATAGTTAATGCATGAGAATTCATGGTTGCGCGAGTTGTTGTTTGTGCTCGATTATTTTGAATGTATTGGAGTACCTTGTCAGTTGAGCGGTATTTAATGACTGCCGAGTGCGCATGTTGTTTGTATTGCCTTATCTTAGAATATAGTTTGTTTTTTTAACAATATTCGGCTTTGACGAAACCTTTGGACTGCAACCGGCGTTTGCTGGCCACCAAGGGGTGTGTTTACGTAAAGTTGTTAATTATTTAGTTAACCTATTAACGTAGAGTTAACGTATTCGGTGTTAATTAGGGGTATTCTGCTATGGGAGAGCATGAAGCCATCCCGTGGGTGTCATGCACTTGATGAGGCCCTGGCTAAAAAAGTTACGGGCAGTAATACTCATTATTTATTTATTTATTTACTTATTTATTTATTGAATACTGTACAAAGTTCAACCCCTGCTACTCTATGGGTGGATTCAAAACTAAAGTGCCCGTGCTTTCGTGGTGTGTTTCGGGGGGGCAGATACGTCAGCCCTTGAAATCATCCCGGCGATTGCCTCCCTATTAACGGGACAAAGACGAAACGGATTTTAAGCAACTTAGAAATAACCCATAGGAACTTATCTAACTGATAGCCAAAAGAAAAGCAAAATTGTCACTTATTATTTCAGTATACGTGGACTTAGTACTGCATTATCAGTTATGACTCCATGACGTGAGCCGCCACACCATCAGAAGGTGCAACCTCATCTATCCATCCATTTGATGTGACTGAAGTTCTAACCAAAACAAGTGTGTGTTTTCGACACTTCGCCCACAGTGGAACTGGATCGGCAGCCGTGTGCTTTCATATCTCGCGATTTGAAACGAATTCTTAAACACGACACTCACACACAGAGCGGTGCACACTGGGAACGAAAGAACTGACGCAGTGGGTGGGCACATGAAACGAGGAATCATTTGATAAGCCTTACAGGTTGAAGAAAGTAAGAGCCCGTGACCACTTTTCGACAAGCGTAACACGCGAGTCCTTAGCGGTGCCCACGGAAGAGGAAAGGGTGTTTCGCGAGGACAACGCTCCAGCAGTGTGCTTGAGTTAGAGAGTAACCGATCGTGATCGATCTCTTTGTGGCAAACGCAATATTATCGGTAGATGAACGAGTCATCGCAACAAGGCCTCTATTTGTGTGATTGTGTGTAACTGAGTATGATTGTTCGATGATGACCTGGACAAGATTAGGATGAAAAGAATGCGGAGGATGACTTCAGAGGACTCAACGTGGCCATGACACACCCGCGAACCTCGACACCCGTACCTTGAGCACACTCGACAATCATCAGTCTCAGGTATGTGCGCAGTCTCCGTTTGAAGCTGGAGCAAAGCTGCTGCTTCTCGAATAAGTCAAACTGCCTTCCGCGCACCACGTTGGGAAAATACGTGCAGCTATTACAGCACTGCCGGAGGCACAAAGTTAGTCTACTGTCACAAAAACAACTTAGTTTATTGTATACACGCATGGTGGTTAGGGTTGTAAAAAACTCGTGTTATTTTAAATGCTCCAAAAAATGACCGTGTTTCTTGATATGAAATGTTCGTATGATGGTAGCTATGAAGGAGAGTTGGCGTAGGTTTGTTCCAAACGTCTCTTAAAGTTAGGAGATCACACTGAACAGTACGTAAACGAAAGAGTTTTTTATTGGGGCTTGTAAAGTTGTGTATCCCACTGCTAGGCAACTCATATTAGCAAATGGAGTCATTTTAACTTTCTTTGTGCATGTGCTTTATGATATGCCGTAAAACTTCCACATACGTGATCAAACGGTTGCGTTGTAATTCGCAGCTAAACTTCACATTACGTCCGATAACTGTATCAACAGTGCAATTACTTGTAAAGAAACTGTAATCGGTGAACGTCACCATGCATCTACTCTCTTTTAGAAATGTTCTTTACGAATACAGAAAGTGTCTGACACGTTATTCTATCCTTCCTCGCATTTCTTCCCTTCCTTTGTGTTGGTGCGTAAAAAAAAAAAAAGAAGGCAACAGCAAGACTGTTCGTATATACTTTCCAGACGTAATTCGCGACACTGCACTGCAGCAAATGGTTAGCACCAAGTTTTGCCGTCGTATGCAGTGACCGCATTCACTATAACGTCGTAGGCCAACTTTATCTGTCGACAACGCGAGCTTTTCTCTGTCGTGACTGTTTTGCGATCGAGTTAATTGATGACTCCCACAACTCGTCTCGACCATCCGGCAAGATACACAATATCGGTATTATCTGCATTCCCACAGAGGACGCAAAACTGCAAGTGATATGCGGCAGAGAATGTTTCAAGCACATCTTTGCTTTATCGTCACCACGACTCGCTCATTATGGCGTTCTTTAGATAAGTCGGAGGTCGCTATAGTTCGACTGGTAGACGTCGTGGTCTGGTTCATGTGTTCAACCTCAGTATTACAGAAAGTTCCTTCACTCGGTGCTACGCACTGACATGAGAATGTCGATGGCAGTTTCGATGTTTTTTTCACAAAAAAAAAACTTATTTTCAACATTTATTTTCAGTAAACCATTCCCCTACATCTAAATTTCAGGGTTGAAAGGAGAAGTGGGGGGGGGGGGGGATAGAGCCTGGTACCAGCATTGTCGTAGAGTTATTATTGTCACGAGGCGTCTATTTCACCAAAATCCACAGGAGGCGATGGCGCTGGAAGAAAGCTTTATTATTAATTAGGCAAACTTGTGCCTTGGACAAGATACGAAGAAACAAGCCGCACCGAAGCGGCGAGTACATGCACGGCTTCTGCAACTTACGTGCTACCAGTATTTAGGCACCGGGCTATCATAAAAGATATGCGCACACGTGTCATGCGTCCGATAATATCCTGCCTCATACGATGGGCGCATCGGAAGCCTAAAGCTTATCTGAGTGGGCTATAACCGACGTGAATGAGTGCTGTCGTTCGACAGTTCCACCTGCAAAAAAGACCGGCAAGACGCACAGCAATATTTAGCAACAGTGTTACCTAGCATTTCAAGCATGACCACTTAACTGTTCTTCTGTACGCATCTCATAATACAACATAATCCTATGTATTGCAGAGCTGAATTTAAGGATACTGAGCACCTTATATAATTTGCGTAGCAGAGGCGAGCATATGATGGCAGGGAAAACTCTGATATTGATCGTGCGATAAACGTAACGGTAATCAGTAACGCCACATTTGCAGTGTGCTAGTAACGCCCCTGTGCTTGCAAACGTGCCACTTCATAATTTCCCACCTGCATGGTCCTTTTTGACTGCAGTATACTGTAAATAGATAACAATAAATTATTTTGAAGTCCCAGTAAAGCCACGTTGAATATTGCCCTCGGTGTGATCGTCTCTAATCTTGACGCCTGTGGGGTCGAAGGCTGCTGAACTGAGCATTTCAAATCTTCGAGCAACCACGTGTTTGAAAACACTGTTGTGAATGAAATTTGACTGTTTGTACTCGCATTTTGCAAAAAAAAATGTCTTTCTTTATCCCTAAGCTTTGAGCGAACTGGTACAGTAGTACATCTGATCGGTACTACAGTACGGGGTGCTACAGTACTCATTTACTGACACGCATCACATTTTGTTAGGGGCGAAGCACTTAAGAGCTGAGTGCTGTTGGTCCGTAGTGTCCGTCACAGGGAGACTCATGGATGCAAGACGCAAAGGAAGATTTAACAATACATCATAATTATGACAGAACAATACAAACAAGCACAAAACTTAAACGTACACCTATGGACTTTAGGACCTAGCTTTGTCGTCGGCTCTCAGTGTCCGCTGTCATACTATATGAAAAATCGTTGCCATAGTGGGAACATATGTGTATCCGTGAACAATAAAAACTTTACAATAGACGAATAACAATCATAAAAGTGGC